TTTAAAAAAAAAATTGAGGCAAGGTTCCATTATGTAGTCTAGGCTGGCCTCAAACTGAAAGCCATCCCATCTCAGTCTCTGTGTTCTAATATTATGGGACTCTAGGCATGTGCCATTCCTATAGCTTCCAGAACTTTCCCCCCATTGTTAGGTATTGAACCAAAGAGCTTATTGGGCCTGCTTCCAGAAAATACGTGTGAGGATTGTGAGAGACCCATCCCCCCAAAATACAGCTGTGTCACTGAGACATGTCACCTCAGCATGGATGATGACTTCCCCATAGCTGCCCCTATGATAGAGCTCTAGATAGAGCCCCTCTTCAGATGACTCTCTTTCTTGAATGCTCTAGCACCTCTGAAACCACATGGAGCTGGTGCAGAATGACATGGGAATGGAGTACAGGGAGGAGCGGCTGGAATATCCCGGGAGGGCCTAATGACTCTTCATTCAGTCCTCTCTTTGAGGGAACATCAACAGGTCTGATCCTGTTGATCGTCTGTGGTGGGCAATTAAATTGCACCTTCTCTGATTAAGATGATAATGACTGTTGTACCCAAGGACAGCTGTGGGGTTGGAAAGCCAATGGTCCCCAAAGGGAGGGGCACTGTGAAGAGTTGTGGCCTTGTTGAAGGAAATCTCACTGTGGGGTGGACTCTGAGATCTCTTGCTCAGGCTTCACTCAGTGTGACTGTCAGTCAACATCCTGTGCCTGCAAGATGTAGCCCTCTCAGCTCCAACACCACATCTATTTCCTAGCCAGTAAGTGCTATAGTATTGAGATCAGAACTGACCTGGTTTTTCTCTGTGGTCAGACTGAATGTCCTAAATAATGTTACAGTAAAAGTTAAAGAAGCCTTCATCTTTGTAAAGCTGCACAGTGTCCAAAGGGTTTTCCTCTGGTTGCAGAGAACCATCATCCTTCCATCTTCTTTCAATCATTTGCATTTTGTAATATTTGACATTTTGTTTCTTCTTTTGCTCCTTGTCTCTCGCTTTAATCATCTTGGCCAGTTTCCAGGAGAGTGCAGCCGTGTTTGGGAAGTGAGAGGAGAGCTAAAGCTCTGTAGGAAGGGAGCCGTATGCTCCTTTGTGGCTGTTCTACCATAAACTGCCGAGAGATTTAAATTCCACCTTCCCCATCACCTCACTTTGAACTACATGCAAGCCTGAGGGTGTCAGGGGATGGCTTGAGGTTGGTTCTCTCCTTCTAAGGGGTCCTGGGCTCCACCTCAGGTTATCAGCCCTGATGCAAGTACATTTACCCACTCGCCATCTCTGGCCCTAAGCCACATGTTTATATTAGCCTGGATGTTGCTGGTGCTGTGACAGCTTCTGTGACATTTAGATACGGCATCGAGGTGATTGGGAGCAGAAGGTCTGAGGCTCAGTTAAGTACCTGAGGCACAAGAACGACCATGTGAGTTCCAGCCCAGCACCTGTGTCAGAAATGCAGGTGTAAGCACCTATAAGCCCAGAGTTTGGGTGCTAGAAACAGGGGGATCCTGGGACTTGCTGGCCAGCCAGTCTTGCTAAAGCAGCAATTCCAGGTTTAGTGAAAGACCTTGTCTTAAAAATAGGGGGAAATGATCGAGGTATATACCAGACATTAATCTTCAGCCTCCACATGCACACACAGCAAAAAGAGCCTAAGTTCTAGAATATTATGTCTGGGTTTAAATTCAGTGATTTGCTTATAGGACTTAAAGCATATTTCCTGTTCATGTAAATCTCTGCTCCTTTGCCTGTATGTTGCCAATAGTAGTCTTACCCAACTTTCGATCTGATGGAAGGAATGAGTGAGATCATTTACTTTAAAGCATTTAACACTGCACCAGCTGCGTGTGAAATGCGATGCTACAGCCTGCAGGTGCTTCTGGAGTTTCTAGTGCAGATGTCCAGAGGCTATGTCTGCAGCTCCTGAATACGATGCTTCTCCCATGTACAAGGCCCAAGATTTGATCCTAAGCACGAGGAAGAAGACGGAAAAGCTCCCCCAGAGAAACAGTGAGAATATTTTGGTATAAATTGTCGAAGACAAAAATTCCAGACCTCTGAGAAGACTTTGCCAGTCCAGACAGCGTTTATTCAGATAACAGCAGGCTCTTCGGAGGAGCAGTGAGCTGTGGCGCTCCCCTTTGTTCAGCTCTGGCTCTCAGGAGCTGAAGAGCCAAGTCTTTCCATGTAGTCTCTGCACCACCGCTCAGCCACCACAGGAAAGAACAGTCACAGTTTGACCTGTGTGGCAGCTTCCAACAGCTGGGTTCTCTGCATTTGCCTTTTTTGTTTGTTTGGTTGGTTGGTTGGTTGGTTGGTTGGTTGGTTTGGTTTTGGTTTTTGAGGCAAGATTCACTATATAGCCCTGGCTGTCCTGGAACTCCCTAAGCAGACCAGGCTGGCCTCGAATTCACAGAGATCTGCTATCCACAAAGACACCAAAATCATATAAAGATAGTAAAACAAGAAAAAAAGTTTACAGATTATGTATCTGATAAAAAAAGTATTGTATGTCTACTATATAAAGAACTCTTACAATTAAATACTAAATAGGTAAGTAGCCTAATATAAAAATGGGCAAATTAAATAGAAATTGAATAGACATGTCCCCAAAGAGAATATACAAATGGCCAATAAGATGAAAAATTGCTTAATATTATCAGTCATATTGGAATGCAAATCAGTTCTCATCTGCTCTAGTTGTTACAATAAAGGTAGGAAAGCAGTTATGGAAGATGAGTGAACACAGATGGTGGCTGGGAACATGGATGGTGGCTGGGAACATGGATGGTGGCTGGGAACATGGATGGTGGCTGGGAACACGGATGGTGGCTGGGAACACGGATGGTGGCTGGGAGCGTGGATGGTGGCTGGGAACGTGGATGGTGGCTGGGAGCGTGGATGGTGGCTGGGAGCGTGGATGGTGGCTGGGAGCGTGGATGACCACTTTGCAGATCAGTCTGAGTTTCTTCAAACAGTAAAGCACAGACTTACCCTCTGACCCTTCTATTTTTATATACCGGGAAAGTTGAAAACATATGTGTTTTTGAACTTGTACACAAATATTCATAGCAGCCTGTTAATGATCCCCCAAAAGTGGGAAAACCCAGTGTCCGTCACTGAGGAAATATAAACAAAATGTGGTATGTCCATTCACCAGAGTTTTGTGTTTGTAAAGATTTATCTACATATTTTATTTTATGTGTGTGCATGAGTAACCTGCATGTATGTATGTATGTGTACCACATGCTGCTTGGTGCCCATGGAGGCCAGAAGAGAACAGTGGACCTGGAGTCACAGGTGGTTATGAGCCGCCTGGTGTATGAACTGAGAACCGAACCCAGGTCCTCTATTAGAACAGCAAGTGCTGTTGACCATGGGGCCATCTCTCCAGCTCCCATGCATTTGAGTTTTATTGATCCATAAAAAAGAGTGAACTCACGGTAGAACACTGAAAGCACGCTAAATGAAAGCAGCCAAACACAAAGACCACATACTGGCTAATTCCACTCATATGTCATTTTCTCAGGAGGAAACTGGTTTCCAAGTAATGATTTCCAGACACAAGGAAGGAGAGTGGGGAGACTGCTGATGGAAAAGAGGCCTCTTGGTAGAGTGACAAATATGTTCTTGAAAGTACTGCTGGTTGCATAACTCGGAGTGTTCCAGAACCCAGCAAGTTGTCCACTTTAACGGGGTTGATTTTGGTATAGGGAATAAATTTCAGTAATACTATTTTTAAAAGCTTAGAGCTAGGGATATAACTGAGGAGGTAGGGCGCTTGCTTACTGTGCACAGATCCTAGGTTCTCTCCCCATAGCACCATTAAAAAGAATACAGTGTCCCAGTAAGTGGATTACTTAGTATTGAAAATCAAATTACTCCAGGTTTCTGTGTAGCTGGCCACCTAATAGTATTTGCAGTTGTTTTTTTTACTGAACTGTCAGACTGGAATTTTATTTCTAGAGTTGTTAGATTCTATTCGTAGAGTCTAATGAGCATTAGCTGTCTTTGAGTTACGTGAAAGCTAACCAAAGCCGCATTTAAGACAGAATTCCTACGACAGCAAGTTAATCTGTTTCTGTGTTCTCATAGGCTTTGCCACGGAGTTGGAAGTGTTCTTTAGACGATAAAATCCCTCTTCCTCGTCAGTCACTACTTTGTTGCACACCTTGTGGATTTAAGTAGTTAGATTCGAAATGAACTAAGCTTGTTAAGTTCTACTCATTTGGGTTGAGACAAGGTCTCACCATGTAACTCTGGCTGGCCTGGAGCTCGCTATGTAGCAAGGTCAGCCTCCTGAGTGCTGGCATAAAAGGTGTGTGCCGCTGTGCCCAACTAATTCTACTCTTTTGTTTATTTATTTGTTTATTTATTATTTATTTATTTATTTAATTTTCTGAGACAAGGTTTCTCTGTGTAACAGTCCTAGGTGTCCTGGAACTTATCCTGAGCCCAGGCTGGCTTCGAACTCACAGGGATCTGCCTGCATCTGCCTCCCGAGTGCTGGGACTAAAGGCGTGCGCCACCTCCACCCAGCAATTCTACTCTTTTTTAACAACTGAATTTTTGCAAAGGATTCTATTGTTAATTGTGTGTGTGTGTGTGTGTGTATCTGTGAGTAGATACAGGCATGTGAGTGCAAGTGTCCACGGAAGTCAGAACTACCGATTGCGATGCCCCTGGAGCAGGAATTAAGGAGTTCTGAGCCTCCCTTGTGGGTGCTGGGACCTGAGCACACGGTGGTTACCCTGCAACCAGCTCTCCAGCCCAACGCCTGAGCTTTTGTTGTTTGCCTTTCGTTGCTGAGACAGGGGCTTGCCTATGTTAGTCCAGGCTCACCTTGAACTTGAACAACTGAAATTTGAAGTAAAATGAATTTAGGTTTTTGTTACATAAAATGTTACTGATTTTGTGGGTTTAGTCACATTTAGCATATTTTGGTAATATGGAGTCTAGGGTTTTCTTCGTAGTTCTTACTTCAGTGTAACTCATTGTATTCTTAGCTCACGGAACACAGAGAGGTACGGCACAGCTACAGCCTGGACTCCTTCTGCCGCTGCCCTTTTTACGAAGAAGCTATGCATCTAGTTGAAGAGGGAAAAATTTACTCCAGAGTACTGAGGTAGTATTCCAGTTTAGCTAATGGCTGATAGCTTACTTTAGAGCCTAATATATTATTATTGTAATATATAATAATATAAAATTATAAAATAATGTATTAAGGTGCTGTTGCTCTTTTTGTGTGACAGTTATTAAATTGTGCTTATGAATATGGGAAAAATACATTTTTGGTCCAAGTAAATGTTTTACGCAGCCTGTCAGTATGCAGAGGACATGTGTTTTCTATTAAGGTCCTGTGGTGAAGCCTTGTTCAAGTCCAGATTTGTAGAAGGCTTGATCTGGAATGAAACCTAACAGTTCCTCTCTGCTCTTTATTATATAGAACTGAAATGCTGGAGTGCCTGGGAGACAGTGATTTTCTTGCCAAACTTCACTGTATTCGGCAGGCTTTTCAGGTACTTCTCATAGCATTAAGTGATGCCCCGCCCAGCTGTCAGGAGCTGTGTACCTTCAGGTTGCAGCATCCCTACCTGTGCACAGGACAGTCCTTTCCATTATTCTGGCTACTCATGGCAGATAGGCAGTCAGCTAAGTTTATTCTCCCTCCATACTGCTGTCTCCATTTCCATTGTCCTTCTCCACACCTTCCCAGGCCTGCCACACTGTATCTAATGGGAGACTGTACCGGTGTGAGTGTGTGGAAATGGCCGCCACACTGTATCTAAAGGGAGACTGTACCTGTGTGAGTGTGTGGAAATGGCTGCTTAAAATGACTCTTGGTTGTTATCAGGCAGTGTATATTTAGGTTTTTAAAATTTGAATCAGTGATTTCCTAAATCCTAAAAGTACTGATTTCCTAAAGAGGAATGAGGTTGTTAATAATAAAGCCAGAAATGCTGGCATACACCTTTAATTGCAACATTCTTTGTGAGTTCAAGGCCAGCCTGGTCTACCTAGGGAGTTTCAGGCCAGCCAGAGTTACATAGTGAGACCCTGTCTCAAAAAAGAAAAACAAAATTTACCTTAGTTTTTGGGTTTTTTGTTTGTTGGTTGGTTGGTTGTTTTGTTTTGTTTTTCGAGACAGGGTCTCTGTGTAGTTTTGGTGCCTGTCCTGGATCTCACTCCGTAGACCAGGCTGGCCTCGAACTTACCAAGATCCACCTGGCTCTACCTCCTGAGTACGTGGATTAAAGGTGTGTGCCACCACCGCCCAACCTACCTTAGATTTTTTTTTTTTAATTTCAAGATTTGCTGGGCAGTGGTGGTGGCAGAGACAGGCGGATCTCTGTGAGTTCAAGGCCACACAGAGAAATCCTGTCTGAAAAAACAAAAAACAAACCAAAACAATTTCTTCAAGATTTATTTTTATTATTTTTACGTGTACACGTGTGTATGTGTGTGTGTAGGTAGGTAGGTACCCATGAGTGCGGGTGTCGAGCTGGAATTGCAGGTGGTTGTAAGATGCCCAGCACCGGTGCAAGGAACCAAACTTTCATCCCCTGCCAGACCAGTGCATGCTCTTAACCACTAAGCCATCCTTCCAGCTCCTCACCCTAGATACCTAATTGTCTAAAACAGAATTTCGATTCGAATATATCTGCCCTTACTCTGTTTTGATCTCTGGGTTTGAGTTCTTTTTGTCTCTGTGAATTTGGACTTCCTCCGTTTCCAGTGAGTACGCGAACTGTCTCGGGCCTTCCCGTGTCACTGGGGTCGCTCGGGTTGGTATTTTTCAGGTCGTTCTCTCGGAAGCAGCCAACAGGATATTCCTTGCTGAGAGTGGACGGAAGATTTTGTCGGCTTTAATCGTGAAAGCGCGGAAGGTGTGTTTGTTCTCTCAGCGCTTCCGTTTGTGCTGGTTTCTCTGGCTGAGACTAACTAGTCAGACAAGGGGCTGGGGAGAGAGCTCAGCAGGGCAACGTCCTTGTCACCAAGCAGACACTTGAGTTTGAGCCCCGAACCCCCATGACCAGGAGCCAACTCCAGCAGCTGTTCTCTCACACAGGTGGTGGCATGTGCCACCTGTCCACCAAGGTTTTAAGATTAAAATATATTAAAATTTTAATAGTGGAGGCGGTCTTTGTAAGCAATTGGAAAGGTCCACCAAACAGTGCTGATTTCTCTTTATTTGAAACAGCCTCTGTGCTCTCTAGTTGGCCTGGAACTCACTTTGTAGATGAAGCTAGGCTCAAATGTGTGCTGATTCTCCTGCCTCTACATCCTGGGTGCTGGAATTATAGATGTGACTACCCCGTCTCCTCAAAGAGTGTGTAAAGCTCGTGATGTTTCTAATAACTTACCGTTGCCTGTGGCATCTGGAGGTCTCTGGAGAGAGCTGTCGCTAGAGCTGTGCCGGTAACCAGGTGTAACCTCCCCCCAGCCTGGTCAGGAGGAACAGTAACCAGGTGTAACCTCCTCCCAGCCTGGTCAGGAGGAACAGTAACCAGGTGTAACCTCCTCCCAGCCTGGTCAGGAGGAACAGTAACCAGGTGTAACCTCCCCCCAGCCTGGTCAGGAGGAACACTGAGGAGCCTGGACAGACTCAGCTGCCTGGTGTTCATCTTCACTGGACTGAGTGAAGCAGAGACATTAGAAGAACTTCATTCAGACTGGAAGGAACCACTTTACTTGATGCAGGCTTGTCCAGATTAAAACAAACAAACAAACAAACAAAAACCAAAACCAAAACCAAACACAAACAGGCCTGCCTTTAGCCCTTTGCCTACCTGGTATTCAGCTCCAGTCCCATCCACCCTCAATTCCTCTTCTGTGTAGCAGAACTGCGTTCATTTTACTCTACTTCGGAAGACTATTGTGATTGAATTAGTGATCTGTGGGACAGTACTTGAAATGCACAGTACGGAGAGACTCACAGGTGACACTGTGTCCTTCCAGCTCACCGTATAAATCGTGGGCTGCTTTCTTGGATTTCCTTTTTTTTTTAATTTTTTTTCATTTATTTTACATTCCGACCAATTTTCCATTCCCTTCCCCCTCTCTTCTCCCCCCCCCCCATCCACTCCTCCTCAGTCTCCATTCAGAAAGGGGCAGGCCTCCCATGGGATTCAACACAGCATGGCACATCAACTTGAAGACCAAGCTCCTCTCCCTGCATCAAAGTTGGTTGGCCTTCCTGCGGTAGACAAGCCCAGGGGTTTGAACCAGAGTGCCTCCAGGAGGAGCAGAGGTGCCTGGAAGGACTTCAGCCTCCTGCTGGAGCCCTGTTTTCATCCTAAAGTCGGAGCAGCAGTTCGCTTTGAGCCTTTACTAACATTCTCATTCTTGGCTTCTGTGAACTAGAGTGACAGGTGGTAAATGAAGGGCGAGAGTGTAGATTACTCGCCTAACCTGACATGTAAAAGGCCTCAGTTCAGTCCTAGCACTGTATAACCAAATATAGAGGCACATCTGTGATCCCAGCAC